CTTCTGGACCAAATCCTGACTGATAGCAGTTTGTTCTTGCACAATCAATGCTTGCATTTTGTCAGAATTCCTAGGTGTTTGTTTGTCCACCCGTCTCTTGATGATTGACCACAAGTTTTCAATGGGATTAAGATCTGGGGAGTTTCCAGGCCATGGAYCCAAAATCTCTGTTTTGTTCCCTGAGCCAGTTAGTTATCACCTTTGCTTCATGGCRWGGTGCTCCATCATGCTGGAAAAGGCATTGTTCATCACTGAACTGCTCTTGGACGGTTGGGAGAAGTTGCTCTCGGAGGACTTTCTGGTACCATTCTTTAGTAATGTCTGTGTTTTTAGGCAAGACTGTGAGAGAGCCGACTCCGTGGGCTGAGAAGCCCCCCCCCCACATGAATGGTTTCAGGATGCTTTACAGTTGGCAKGAGACAAGACTGGTGGTAGCGCTCACCTCGTCTTCTCCAAACAAGATGTTTTCCAGATGTCCCAAACMATYRGAAAGGGGATTCATCAGAGAAAATGACTTTACCTCAGTCCTCAGCAGTCCACTCCCTGGACCTTTTGCAGAATATCAGTCTGTCCCTGATGTTTTTCCTGGAGAGAAGTGGCTTCTTTGCTGCCCTCCTTGAGACCAGGCCTTGCTCCAAGAGTCTCCGCCTCACAGAGCGTGCAGATGCACTCACACCTGCCTGCTGCCATTCCTGAGCAAGCTCTGCACTGCTGGTAGCCCGATTCTGCAGCTGAAACACTTTTAAGAGACGGTCCTGGCGCTTTCTGGTCTTTCTTGGGCGCCCTGGAGCCTTTTTGGCAACCATGGAACTTCTCTCCATGAAGTAAATTTTCTAGGCAAATATTGACTTTGCAATTAATTGCTGTTAAGCTGATCACTCTTTATAACATTCTGGAGTAAATGCAAATTGCCATTATAAAAACTGAAGCAGTAGACTTTGTAAAAATTAACATTTGAATCATTCTCAAAACTTTTGGCCATGACTGTATAATTCAGGGATTACTTTGTTACCAACAGATCAATTTTTAGCTCAGTATTCATAATATTAACTMTGTGATGATCATTTTTATGTTTTGTAAGGTCACCTGGCTGTGGCAGCCATCTTGAATGGGTCAAATCTAAAAAGGTAAAAACTTTTAGATGTCCATCAAATTATAACTTTCTGAGAGTTCCCCTTAAATCTGTCTTGAGTTATGAAGTTACTAGAGAAACAAACAGGTTTGACTTCAACAAATRATGCCATGGCTTTGAGCAAAGATACTGCTGCACAATAAAACATAATCAAGTGTGGGTTGGGAAGATAGTCAGCTGCTATCACACCAAATTTTGGTTCAATATCTGCAACATGAGTCAAGTTGTAGCCATTTAAGGTATGTCAGCTTACCTAACTAGTAAAATTAACCATTACTGGTCTATAGTTAACTCTAACCTGAACCAGAACTTAACTCACAACATACCTCTAAAC